TATCACTTAATCAGAGAGGGGAAGGAGGCCTGGGCAAGCTCCACCCTGAGAAGGAAGTCTGAACTGTAAGCATTCAGAGGGTGGGGGAGCAACTCAGCGCATAGCTCCCCTCTCCCCCTCATAGCCACACTACCTCAATACTTGGTAGTAGATATGTGCACCAGCAAAAAAAATTGTATTGTTTTAATTCTGATTTTGCTTTATTTTGTTTTTCGAAATTCGTGTCCGAAAGTCAATTCGTTTCGGAATTCGGACGAAATTCGTTAGCGGTAATCCGTACGAAATTTCGTTTCGTTTTCGGTCGTTCGTTGCAGCAAAGTGACATTTAAGAGGAAAACGTTTTTTTGTTCTCAAATGTCACTTTGCCTCAACAAAATGTCGTCGAGAAAAACGGAATTGGAAATTCGGATTCGTTTGCATTCGTTATATCTGTAATTCGGATACATCCGATTCTCTGAAATTCCGTCCGAATTTTGAGTCGGAACGAAACGAATCGCACATGTCTACTTGGTAGTAGATTGCCTATTATTAAAAAGTAACAAGTTACATGCAACATAGTTTCCTTTTACACATATCCTTGCCCAACTTTGTTCTCTACTACACAGAGAAAAAACATTGCAATAGCCTAAGAACATTCAATTTTGCTCCATTCTCACAACAGCTGGTTCACACAGGTCAAATGTACATGCAGTGTTCATAGATGGATAGCTACACCAATTTTTTTTTTATAGACTTCTAAAGCTTACAGCACATATTGCAAAATGACTGCACATTCATTGGATCGTTTTGGTAAATCTAAAGGATTGTACAAACATTGTAAACTGTATAGCAAGCTTAATGATCATTTAGTCTAGAGGGACATAAGAGAGGAATACTGACCGTATTCATCATTCCTGCAGGCTTCCTCCCCACTGGTTCCTGAATTCATGAAAAGTCATGAAGCCACTCCACTTCTCCAGTTGTACGGCAATTCCCTTGCCAATTTTATCACTTACAATGAAGGACCAGCAGTCCTGATTGTAGCAGAGGACATTAAGGGCCCACCCACTTTTGTCCCCCATGGTCCCTGTGGGTGTTGTAAAGTAAATGTCAAGGTTCTTGTTGCACTCCTTACCGGAAATCCCAGATAATGGGGTGGGTGCTTGAAATAACTGCGGATGGCACCACTGGATGTATAGAATAATAGTAAAGAATGTCACCAGCATTCCGAAGATCCTTATAGAATCACCAAATGTTCATTTTATTGAACAATTTGTCAAATGGAAAGAAGCGCTTGCAGGGTCCCTTCATCAGGCTTTGACATCGATGGTGACATTCTTTACTATTATTCTGTGTTGTAAAGTAGCCACCGCTCCAAGCTCACTCCTGTGATGGACTACAATCTCATGTTTAGTTTACTCATTTCTTTTCAGATTGAAGTCTATCACAGGAGTGAGCTTGAAGCGGTGACTACTTTACAATACAAACGGAGTCCATGGGGAACAAAAGTAGCCACCCTCCAGAAGGAAGGACAGTGTCATCACCAATTCAGATATGATTTAAGGATCTACATTTGAGTGATACACAAATAAGATACATTTTGTTAATAGTTAAGCTACTTGAATACAATTCTAAAATTTTACTTCCTAGTTTAGTGTCAGTTTAAATAATTTAGAGTAGGGCTCACCTTACACAGATTCAAGCATCTTACAATTAAGCAAGATAAGATACATAATCGTGTTCCTGTACCGCACAATTTTGCTCCATAGGTGGCCACTCTCTGCTTCCTAAGAGTGTGGAGACCGGTCACCGCTGCCCGCTTCCTAGGAGTGTGGAGACCGGTCACCGCTGCCCGCTTCCTAGGAGTGTGGAGACCGGTCACCGCTGCCCGCTTCCTAGGAGTGTGGAGACCGGTCACCGCTGCCCGCTTCCTAGAAGTTCAGTTACGAATTACGAAATAACGGATATTCCAAAACGAAAGAACTAATTTTTTGACGGCGCACAAGTCTACTTCCTAGGAGTGTGGAGACCGGTTACCGCTGCCTGCTTCCTAGGAGTGTAGACCGGTCACCGCTGCCCGCTTCCTAGGAGTGTGGAGACCGGTCACCGATGCCCGCTTCCTAGGAGTGTGGAGACCGGTCAGCGCTGCCCGCTTCCTAGGAGTGTGGAGACCGGTCACCGCTGCCTGCTTCCTAGGAGTGTGGAGATCGGTCACCGCTGCCTGCTTCCTAGAAGTGTGGCGAACGGTCACCGCTGCCTGCTTCCTAGGAGTGTGGCGACCGGTCACCGCTGCCTGCTTCCTAGGAGTGTGGCGACCGGTCACCGCTGCCTGCTTCCTAGGAGTGTGGAGACTGGTCACCGCTGCCTGCTTCCTGGGAGTGTGGAGACCGGTCACCGCTGCCTGCTTCCTGGGAGTGTGGAGACCAGCCACCGCTGTCTGCTTTCTAAGAGAATGGATACTGGCCATCACTGCCAGGCCCTTAGGAATATGAAGACTGATCACCGCTACCTACTAGTATGGAGACTGGTCACTGCTACCCGCTACCTACGAGCATGGAGAACAGTTACCGCTGCATGTTTCCCAGGAGTATGGAGAAGGGTCATCATTGCCTGCTTTTTAGGAGTATGGAGAAGGGTCATCATTGCCTGCTTTTTAGGAGTACGGTCACCACATTGCCCCCTTTGGGTTGATTCTCACAGTGCTGACATTGACATGTATTGCCCATGTATTTCAACTGTGTATATAGCTTCTTGCCTTGCGTTCTGTTTTAGCAATGTAATATTTACACAGCATAACAAGGACGTTACAAAAAAAAAAAAAAAATCACATTTTGAAATATATTTTATTTCATAGGTGAGAGAGAGCGAACGTAGTTTCAAAGTAATTGGAAATGTTATATAAACAGGACATACAGGACTGCAAAATACATTCACTCCATGAACATAGCTAAGAGTTGTGCAGCCATTCACGGTATTGTATGTCAATAGTCTAGAAGTTACACGCAGGGCTTTCAGACAAGCTTCTGTACATCCTATGGTATCAACCGTTAAAAGGGGGTTTTCTTGGCTAAGCAAAAAAGAGGGGCGACAGTTCCATAAAAATAATAGGAATATAGAGACTTTTTATTAGAAAGTGCAAACTATTACTGACTGTAGACATAAAAGATGAAAAACAAAACACATTATTTCAAACTAAACAGTAACATCACTGACGTGAAGTAAAAGATTTATTATTATACTAATTCACCACTTCACTGCCAAGCAAACTATAAAGAACCATTTTTATCAGCGCGTGTAGGGCAATAATGGTCTCAATTGCTCAACAAGAACCAATCAGATTCTGCCCTTCGTGCTCCTATACTAGGAGTCTAGTTGCCCCTATGAACCAATCAGAATCTCCCAATGCATTACAAAGAATGAAAAGAAGAATATGCTTCCTCTAGAACACTGATAAACACGGTTACAGCTACTGCGTGGCAGTGCCAAGCACATGGTGGAGTGCAGTGATTGGAAAAGGCTCCCAAATGCTTGTAAACACGGTATGAAGGTTCAAGATACGACTTTTGACCAGCGTCTGTGCTGCAGTCTCACGACAGGCCTCGATTTCAAGTGTCTGCGGTCATGTCAACCAACCAGATGCTTGCTTGTTTTCTCTAACTTGCCCCCCCCAAAAAAAGATGGATGTTCGTTGATTGGAAACACAATGGGTGTAGTGTGGATTTATGAAACAGCAGAGAAAAAGTAAACCAAAAGAAGTGTAGATTGAAGGAAATTTACGTTTGCATGCTCTTGGGTGTGAACACAGCAGTGGCCAATCTAACTCGTGGTCAGATACTAGTTCAAGGGAAGACAAGTCACTTGTAGTAAAGCTGGAAAAGCTCAGCTTCATAGCCCCCGAACTAGTATCTAGCCTGTGATTCCAGAACAGTTGCTGCTGAGGTAGATAGGACTAAAGCCACCTCTTCCCCAGATCTAAGCAACTATAAAAGTCCCCATCAGGAGGAAAATGAGTCCATTAATGATCACATCCATTTTGGAATTGCACAAAAGGTTTATTTATGAAAACTAGAGCAAACGTGGTGCTATCCCCAGCAACCAAAATGTCTTAAGAGGCCTCAAAGCCTGCAGAGCTGACCAAAAATAAGCTAGCTTATTCACAGAAGCAAATGGCAAAGAACCCAAAGGCTACTGCAATAATAAATATGAGCGAAGAGCAATTAAAACAACCGATCAATACCCGGTGTCACTTTAGTAGTGCAGGTTAGAAAAAGACAAAAAAAATAACCTTATTGGTTGCCACGTGCTTTTAATGCGTGATCAACCCAGTGCCTTATACAGCTATTGGTTTTGTCTGCTGCATAACCGGTGAGGAAAATGGGAACGCACGTACAGTAGAGGCCTGTGCCATGTATTACTTGCTTAATCTGGAATATGTACATCTAGATTTTATATACCGATGGTGGAACACATAGGTGAACACACAAGAGATTATGTGTAAGATCTGTATGTATATTTCAGTATCTGTATAAACATAGCCACATGACATATCGACTACATATTATACGCGGATATCACTGCAGTTCCGATGAATTGTTGCATTCATTCTCTAGTTTGGATACAGCGGAGTAACAGAGAAAAAAAAAAAAAAGAGCCTTCATTTAACTGCACTTGATGAGAACTGAGCTAGCTGTGCCACTAGGGGGAGCAGTTCAGGACTAACAGACCAAGATATGTGATATTTGTTGGATCCTCACATAAAACATGGCTACACTGTACTGAAAGCTGGCATGTTACAGAGATAGAAGGCATCTGTTTGAAAGGAGACTCAACTTTTACCAATGCATGGAAGTAATGAAGTCCGATATTTATAGAGCACGCAGGCATTTGAGGCCAAAGCAGCTATAAGACGCCACAATCCGGGTTTCCTTAATGATGGGCAGTCTGATGTTGATTGGTCAGATGCCAGGGGGGGGGTTAAAGATCTGACATTGTAATGAAGAGAAAACTGGTTGTTTAGGTCATTTCCTAAATCAGACAGAACCTAAGTACCCGCTGTTTTTAGTTCGTTTATCCGAATGCGCATTCCAGGCTTTAGGCGTTAGAGAGAGAAAGGGGAAGAGAAAGACAGAGACGCGGAGTCCTTTTCTGTATCCGCTCCCCCTTTCTTCCCAGGTATGTAGACACCCAACTCAGACAGGTGATCAGTCTCTATGTCTGTGCGACAAATCTACACGGCAGCCCAGTTCTCAAGTTCTCTCATGTCCTCGTCATCCTCCTCTTGCTTCTTCTTGGCTAGAAGAGAAGAAAAAAAATCCAGAATGTGTTATTTGGTGCCAGTACAGAGAGACGTTACTGTTCAGTCTTGCAATTCCCTGGCATAGTAGGACACCATCCTAACCCCACACCGCCGCTTCCGCCACTATCTGTCATACAATTTGCCCTTTGCCAACGGGGGTCTTATACACATAACAGCAACCTGCACTTTAAGGCAAACTCCTAATCCAGGAGCTCTTGATGTTCTATGGTTCAGGGACCACGTGAAAACAAGAAACAGATGTGATTGGGTCACCTAAACGAACATTCACTACTTGCCCTACCAAAATCATCACATAAAAAAAGAGAAACGGCTAGAGGTGGTCGCAGCCCCTAATGTCTGCTCTTACCACTACCAGACCCCATTCTTTTTTCAGATTATTAAATAAATCATGAGACATTTGCTACCCAATTTATAGGTAGATGGTTTAGGGGTGCAAGTCACTGACTATTGGGAATTCCCAAAAGTGGTATCTGATATTTCTAGGTATGGTCCCACCACCACACCTTCCCTCAACAATAGTGCTGCAGTTAATACCAGACTAGATTTATTAAGGACTTGAGCAAAATCAGACTGCAAAAATGTATACTAGACTCGGCACAGGGTAGAAGTTGTGTATGTTACCATTAATACCAAACCCCATTCTAATTGCCAACATATCAGCACTTCCTGCTCATACCTACTGACCAGTAAAGAATAGGGATGCACAGATAACGGTTTTTCAGTATCGAGTACTGATTTTTTTTTTTTTTTGGTACTCGGCAATACCGAATACCAATACTGGAACTCCCATCAAAGCCAGGCGGCGTATAAGGACTTGCCCCCTTGCTTCCTGATGAGCCGGGAAGCTAGGCGGCGTGTAAAGACTCGCCACCTGGCTTCCCGATTAGCAGGGAAGCCGTCTCCATGCTTCTTTGTCACCAGGAGACGAGGAAGCAAGGAGCCGGCTTTCTGGCCAATCAGGAAGCCAGGGGCGAGTAATGATTTGCTACCTGGCGTCCTGATTGGCAAGTTTTCCGACCCATCAAGAAGCTAGGCGGCGAGTCATTACACGCTGATTGGCCGGGAAGCCGACTCCATGCTCCCTGGTCACCAAGCCAGGCAGCGTGTAATGACTTGCCGCCTAGCTTCCTGACACCGGAAGTTCGGGTATCGTGCTAGGCATCGGAGCATTTGGCAGAGTACGAATACTCGGTACCCAGAAGTTGCCACAAACATTTCCCCACCCTCCGAAACTACTCTTCACTGTTCTCCTTACAATCTGTACATAGACGCTAGAACTTCTCACCCAAAACTTTCCTTGGGTAACTGTGCAGAGCAAGAGGAACCTTGTGGTGTCAGCAAGTACCTGTGTACTTCAAATTGATCCCTGTGATGACCTCCTGGATCCTAGGCCCAGGACCTATGCAGGGCTCCTACTTCTGCCCAAGTTAGTCAAAGTGTACCCCTCCTAGTACTATGCCCCACACTTGTCATTTATCAGCCAAATGACAGAACATCTTTAGGAAGTAGAGGCTTTGGGATTTGCGTGCTGGTGTCTTAAAATGTCCCAGCCACTAGGAGAAAGAAAGCAGCATGTCTAATCTCTCTGTCTGCAGAGCTACAGAGGCTGCTGCCATCTGCCACTTCCAAGTGCATCATATAGTATGTCCCCCAGTGGGCATTTTAGTTCCTCCCACTAGCCACTACAGGACGCCAAATGAAGTTGAAGCAAGCAGCTGCAAACGTTAGTGCACAGTGGGTTAAACTCTTTCCGACACACTTGAAACTGTTGGATGGCAGCGGCACTCTGCCAAAGGGTGAAGAATGGACTTGCCACCCGCTGGACAGGTAAGTGTTCAACATAATATTTTAAAAGGGGGTTCTTTCTAGACTCATTCATCCAATTGACAGGGTCAAGTCAACCTCCTCTTAGACAGAAGTTAAAGCCACAAGTACAGCCTGGGCCTACGGAGCCCCACTGGGGATTGATTTGAAGACTGGAACATGCACATGCCTGAACTTAAACACGGTTGTTCCCTTTAAATAATCAAATCAAGCACCGCATGTGAAAAGCTTTAAAATAAGCAACATGAAATGTCCCTTGCACACAGTTAAACCTTTGGAGATAAAATGCTTACCTGGCTTTGCGGGCAGAGAAGCTGCAGGCACATTTGGGAGCGGCACAGTTTCTGGACCTTGAACCTCCAAAAGATTCTTGTCCAGTTCTTCTTGTTCTAGTTCTTCCAATTCCGCCAAGAGTTCATCCTGGAAACAAAGACAGTGGGTGAGGAATTACTCATATAAAAGGGGCAAGTGTAGTAATTAACTAGTCGGTCCTTTGCACCCTTTTATCCAAGCCATTCGAGTATAAGCCGAGCACATCATTTCTGTTTTATGGCTTGTGTAGATGGGCAAATGCAGTGTTTTCAAATGCCTTCTGCTTATTTCAGATCATATTGAGATGCTTTGAGTTCCTTTACAGGGGCTTCTGACCTACTAGGCAGTAACAAGAGGCTTTCGGCTTTGTCATGTCGGGGAAGAAAAGTATTTGTGATGTGAACAAAAACCAGTGTACACAAACTGTAAAATGGTTAAAAAAGATGTGTTCATTCTAAGCAATTTGAAAGATGTAGCCGGCAGGTTTGGCACAACACTTTCCATTTGCCAGGCTCCCAACTAGAGGTCTGCTCCATTGACTTTTAGTACACCAGGGCTGGACAAATCCCCATCATAAGATCACGGATAAGTGGAAAAGTTCCCTGATCACAAGGACTGCTTTTTTTAAAACCTCTTCTGCCAGATGATCTGCTGCACTGTGTTCAGAGCTTGGAAGGAGGACTTGGCCTCCCATCACTGAGGACACCAAGCCTAGCCGCTATACCACAACCAATGATGACACCAAGCCTGGCCGCTATACCACAACCAATGATGACACCAAGCCTGGCCGCTATACCACCACCAATGACCCTAAGCCTGACTGCAATACCACCAGCGACGACCCCCAAGCTTGACTGCTATACCACGGATGTGGACCCCAAGCCTGACCGCTATACCACCAGTAATGACCCCAAGCCTGGCCGCTAAACCACTGATGACACCAAGCCTGACTGCTATACACTGGGTAGGCTGTATGACGGTTATGTATTTCAAGGATCAATTTTGACTCCAAAGAAAAAGTAAGCGCATCTAAACCCAAACACAAACATTTACTATATTGAAGCTCACCAGTCCTTAGATTTGCAGAATTAGACTTTCTTTTTCTGGTGAATATCAGCAAGTATGGGAAATACTTGTTGATCTTGCCAGAAATGCAGTGTTCTTGTTACTTCCTGGCAGATGACAAGACCTCATAAACAATGTTGTTCTCTCTCGTTTGTAAATTACTAATCCCATCAATCCACCAAGTCCAAACTGTGTGACAACCTAGGCTCCTTCCAATATACAGGAGTGGAGAACTGAGTGTAAACACAAAGGGTCAGGAAGTGTGTTATTCACAGCATTACCGGGTGGTGAAAAAAAAAAAAAAAAAAAGTTTTTTTTTACCACAAATAAAAAATGGGGC